GGATGGACTTTCACAGATAGGGTGTGAATACCACGTCACCCACATTGGGGCTGAGGTGAGAAAATTTATGATTATGGCACCTCTGATGGCCGGCAATGGTACCGTCTCATTTAAATTTAAAATTTGAATTTAAATATAATTTTATTCTTTTCTCCATTTCATTTATTCTCTTGGAGGGCCGGGGGACATGCCCTAAGAGCATGCATTCTACTGGTATACATGCAGATGACCAATTTCATAAATTTCTTAGCTTCCGACGTGTGGGGTGGGGGAGGGGCGATGTCCCCGAAGAAAAAAAAGTGGGCGTAGTCGGGCGTCACTCAAAATCTCTCTAAAGTGTCGTAGGGGGCGAAGCCATGAAAAATATGATAATTTAGGGGTTTCAAAGGCTTATCTAATCGGGTTTGTCGTCTGCTAATATGTAAAATAATACATAGGCCTATACATTTTTTTCTCCCCAACGAATTGTGGTTTTTCTCCCCGACCGGGGCAGCTCTCCTCGTCAGGCGCGGTTACCACCACCATCATGAAATAATTATGGTGATTTTTTAAATATTTTATATAAAATTTCAATTATAATTAGGCCTATTAAGTCGTCATGAATTTAGCAGACAATAAAAAATCAATTTATAAAATGCAATTCAGGAATATTTATTTAAAATAATGTACATTACCATGCACAACCTAGTGACTATACATCAAAATTGGCATCAACATACATATTTTCACTGTTTAAGTGTCACCATTGCACAGCCATAATAACTTATGCTAATTTAATACTTCAATAGAATAATAATGTGTTAATTGCAATTGTTGGACATATTGCAACTTATTACTAAGTTATTACTTATATCATAAATGGCACGTTGTCTATGAGGTCAGACACTTTCCAGTTAAAAGGCCTTGAAGCCAAACTTTTCTTTAATTTTCTGGCATTAAAGGTAACTGTTTTATAATGGCCTCTTCTTTACACTGGGGACTCCTCCCGCAGAGGTTTATGTTCTAGGGCTGTATGACCCGTCTTCATCGCCTGTGTAGGTTTTTGTAAAAGAAGTCCCCCGATGTATATTGAAGATCCTGTTATCATTCTTTCATTACAAATGTGTCTTCCTTTTTCAAACGCAAGTTCTTTTACATTGGTGCCACTTGGTATTTATTAGAGCCCTTTTGATTTTTATATCTTATGAAGTCAGTATGCGTCACTTTATCCCAGAAAAGATCAAGACTTAACCGATGCTAACTGGAGTACATAAACACTGATCTTCAGTTTGCGGTGATGGTGTAACCCCATACTTCGGTTTGGGTGCTAGCTTGGTGTTCATTGTTTTGTTTTTATTTTCAGGCTTTTTTCCTTGTTTTCTTGACTACAATATTGTCGAGCGCCCGCAAAACAGTGCGGCCAAGCTGATTTTTATGGCGAAAAAAAAAAATTGAAAATGATTATATAACGCTTCTCCTCCGACAACTCCATTGGTCCATAAACATATCACATTCAAAACACTTTACCACCGTCTTTAAACGCTTCATAGACCATGTAGCATCTTACTGACCTTATCACACATTTCCAGCTTAATCGCAGTGGTTTTCGATACCAGGAAGAAACCTAAAACAAACTTACAATCATTATTCAAAGGATTCTATGCTGCTGTACCCAGCCTTTGGAATGATCTTCCAAATCACATACGACACTCTACATCAATCACGCAGTTCAAATCTTCCCCGAAGAGTAATTTATTTACTATTTAAATACTTAAATAATCCTATTACCTTTGTTTTGTAAAACGCTCTGGTATCTTAGGTAAGAGCGCTATAAAAATGACTGCATTATTATTATTGTTGCTATTATTCTTATTATTATCAAAAGTGTCTGCTGACATGTCCTATCTCAAAAGTACAATCATTGAATTTAATTTCATCAGGCCCATTGTTATACACCTCATTTACCACTACCGTGTATTTTATCCAGTTCTTATTTTGTGATGAACAATCGCCCATCTAAAATGTTAATTTCTTATTGTCAGGTTTTCTGAATGTCTAATAAATTTTATTTATATACTCGACACATCACCGCTATCGCGTCTTATCCCACAGAATCCCGAGAGGTGAGAATGTTTCATAAAATTTAATCCTTCGTCTAGTGAATTGTCACTGCTTATATTTTTGGGTTCTTGGAAGCATGTTAATTTTTTGCACATCAACAGACACAACTTCTTCATCATCTTTAGTGCATGTCCTGTTGAGTTTCATGAAATGTCAGCATTTTCAACACGAGCATCATGCTTTGGGGAAATGCTGCAGCTCTGTCGGTGGTCGTGATCGGCTTCATGTTTGGACTTCCTTACGTTCTTGAAATGCAATGCTCACTCTTCCGGCACTAACCTAACAAAACTAATATTGTGTTCCTTGATGATTCTTCTATACGTTCATTGAAATCAGTGTACATTATAGCAGAAAGTTCAGAGGGCAGTTACTTCAATGGAGCCTGTTTTCTACGATAAGGGCGGATACTTGGATTTTAGATATTTATATGTTTAACATTTTATATTCATATCAACCTCTTATCTGTTAATGCACGTGTTAGTTGCCATGTTTTCCTCTGCAATTTTCAGGTATAAAAGCTTTTTCCAACGGAGTAGCTTTTAAGGCATGTATAACAACCCACTCCTAATATATCCCAGAGTTCTCAAGAAGAAGGCTTGGTTTGTCTCTAACTATTCCCCCATTTTTCATTACATCGATTTCTAAGAGTATTTCAACAGTAAGAAACTGAGTATCATATTTCTCACATTAAAATATAAATTGAACTAGTTTGTGAGAACTAAATGTCCAGCTTATTCTTATAGGTTTGTAGATCACCAAAATGGAGTGACGGTCTTGGATTCGAATTTCGATAGCAATAGACTGCTACTCCCATAATGTTTGCAATCTCTGATTCGGATTGAGGAAAAAACGTCTAAACTTAATATAAAACTTGCTAATTGGTTTTCAGCAGCAGTCTTATTCTTTTGCTTCACATTCTTAAGGCGGTGTTGTCTTTCGGTTAATGAATATGCGTGTTTTGATAGACTAACATCCAAATAATTCTCAACAAAAACATCAGTGCACTTTAGAGTCTACAACAGCCTAGTATTACAACACACAACTACTCAAAACAATATTAGAGAAACTATTCATTTGCATATTGAATATTCATGATATATTGCTTTTTACGTAACAAACTAATATACGATAGTTCGGGTCTTGTTAGTTGAGAACACAATCTATTGTCCTTGGCTTGGGGATTGCGTAAGAAACTTTTGATTTGAACTCCACTCGGGTACCACATTCGAGAATCTCCAAATTCACGAACAGTTCCGATACAATTTTGGCTTAATTGATCATTGAGTTTTTTTAATAAAGCTACTTCATGTTTCATATTTTCAACACCAAACGTTTCTATTTTCTTCCTTAAGGATGTATTAAAATAAGTATATAATTTCCAATCCCCTCCATTCCACTTCCGAATTTTATCTGCTTCTGCTGTATCGATTGTCCTTACTGATGGCTTGATCCGTTCATTTTGTTTAAATGAGGTAACATCTGCTAACGTCCAACATAATTCGTTTTTAAGAAGTATCATAGACTCCTGAAAAAACTCAGCAATAAGTACGAGATGAAAATCGTTATCAATAATTCCAATCCATTCATCGATCTTTGGATCGTCTACTTCTAATTGGCGCGCATCAAGTCCTAAGTCGAATAACATTGGGTTCCTCCCACTAAATCGATCCATCCGCCCAAATTGGTAATACACATTTGGTTGGTTTAGGAACCCAGAAAGGTCGATACCATATCGCTCTTCTAATCCATAATAATCGTAGATACTTTCATACTGTTTCGCTGGATCTCTTAGAACTGTAATATATATTGAATCACTTGGCATTATTTCTGACATACCTGAAAAATGAAAACATAAATATAAAATTAAATAAACACATGTAGCCTGAAAGCATAAAGGATTAACGATTTCGAAGTTCATATTAGGTCTTGTTGAGATATATATTGCTTTCATTGTATGTCGTGTGAGCAATGAGAATAATAAATTATAGTTTTGTTCAATTCGCTAAATAGTTTATCTTGGTCTTAAATACATTTTTCACACAGTTACAATTGTGAAGGATAATATTCATCAGCTACAATGTGAGTAATTCTGTCAGGTTTTAACGATCTGCCAGGAGAGAGAAGGAGTGAAAATATGGTTATCACTGGACTCAATACCACAGTGGCAGACAGGCTATCCCGGAGCCCGGTCACAACACTGTTCAAAACCAACAGCGGAATACATAATTATGAATAAAAACCGGGGTTCAAACAAAATGTATATATTAATAAATATTGTACTTAATTAAGGGAACTAGAAATTTAGAGAGATCAAGGGTAAATTAAACGATTAAAAAAAAGTAAAGTTTACTTAGGAAACAATCAACTTGTAACGATTGAAGCCTGATGACAAAGAAAGAATATGAATTTTGACCTCTGTCGGTCAAAACCAGATTGAGCCCTCAATCGTTTCATTTTGTGTAGTGAGGCAATAGCTTGGCCACAATAATGGTATAATGGTTTTATAGCATTACCAGGAAGTCCAGTCCCTACACAAGACAGAATTTTGCTATGGAAAATCTGTAAATGCCGTAACTAAATGGTATATATACTGTCTCTTATACACATCTAGATGTGTATAAGAGACAGGGGCTACACCGCGCTGACTTCTTTCTTTTAGCCACACTTCCTAGAGCTACAATACAATTACAGGGGCGGATCCAGAGGGTTTCTGACGGAGGGGGGGGGGGGGCACAATATGAAGGTCAAGCCGCCACGCCCACCTCCGCCCCACCATGGTTGGTGTTGATAAGTGGTAAACGATCGAGCTCTCCTTTCTCCCGTTCCTGGATTTCCACTGAGCTAATGGGTTCACTCCTTTTACCCCCTTTTTAACTCAAATTTTTCTCCCCCTTTTTAATTTTTCGGCTGGACCGACGGGGGAGGGGGGGGGGGGGGGCACTGCCCCCCGCTGGATCCACGCCTGAATTTTTAGCTTTAATGACCCATGTCGTACACTATGAATACTAAAACATACCTTGTTTGCTGTATCTAGCATGATTCGCAAGAATGTTGTACTTTCCAATAGCGGACGGGACGGCGAATGTCCTATTGAAAAGATACGGGTTTCCGAGATATGGTCCACACTCACTCTTGGGTAAAACAAACATCAAATTGTGATCGTCTCCCCAGCGGTACAATATATTCTGAATTGTCGAGCTACTGCATTTGTGTGTCTTCAGAAAACAAATATTATTCTTTGGTTTACATGCGTCTTTAGATGAATATGAAGCTTTATATTCTTCCATTTTTCCTATGTGTAGTAATAATGGCTGTTCTCTATCACTTTGTTCTGAACCTAAAATCAACTCCGTTTCACCAAAATTTACTTTATGTCTGCGTATGTAAGGTGACAGTTCTTTTTGTTGTTTTATCATCTCTGTCAATGTATTATTGTTGTAAAGCATGGACGTTTTCTCTGTTAATTTGCGTATATCAGACTTATCATTATTTGGTGGGCCTGCCTTCGTCATAAACCCTTTGGCATTTTCCGTCATGTGGTTGTTAGTGCCTTGGCGCGTATCAGGTGACAATTTGCTATGTGGTTGCTGGACCACCCTACTCAATACCCCATCGTTATTTCTTAACATGTGAGTCTCAGTTTTTCTGAGCATATCAGTCGAAATGTCTTCATTTGTATGAGCCATTTGAACTAACACACCCCCTTCGCGCATATATTCAGAACGCATTTGTTTCGATAAAGACCGATTAAGAATGGCTTGCCGATCAATTTTAAAATAGTTTTTGTTTAATTCAATAGGAAGATATGACATTGACTTAGTCGTCTTTCCACCTTCTCTAGTGATTTTAGAAATTAGCTTTAGGTACTCGTTTTTACGACCTGGAGTTTTCAAATTTAAACTTGATCTGACCATGGCATCATTTATTTGTTGCAATTGTTGGCTAATGTTTAGTAAGTTCGAAAGCTTTTCACGTAGCTTAGCAATATTAGGTTGTTTCTCATTTGGAACTAGATGGTTTCCTTTTGTGCCTTCTTGATCTGCAACGTATACAGCGCCATCATGCATTTCCACTGGCTGTCTGAAAATTAAGAAAACAATATATTAATGTAAATCAATCAGAGGAGACGTTAAGAAATAAAAAAATCAATAATTCATTAAGAATAACAAACACTCAAAATTCTGTATATTTTTAGTAATTCAACATTTAGAAAAATATAATAAAATACGACACTCAAAAATACAGATAATAATTGTCAACATGTCTTATTGGTTATAAGGAATTGGAAGCAAACACAGACACCTCACGTAGAGGACACGACTACATGGAATCTAACAATTTTGTATTTTTCTACGTTGTCCAACGTTAGCACTACACCCTGATACCATACAATCTGCTTATGTGAGTCTTAGTTTTTTATTGTGAATTGTGTTTTCTGCTATTTCATTCCATTTTTCGGTGTTTTGAGCAAATTGGGCAGGCTGCATCCGTAGACATTCTTACGCTCAACACTCTTACTGGTTGTTGACAGCGTCTACCCGCCAGAAAACAATAGCATTCCCGGCAAACCATACCTTAGCTGACAACAACATGGTCTTACATGTGCATGCGAGAAGCCGTTAATACCTTATGATGAAGAGTATGGGTTTGAACACCACAGACTTAAGCCCCCATCCTTTTTTAGTTATAATTCGAAAGTATATGTGTTTGAAATGAAAATGATTAGGCTATAATTACAAAAAAAAAAAAAAGAAAAAAAAAAGAATAAATACTGTATAGGTCTAGTCCTTATTTATTTAGGAATGTATTGCCACTGACGCATACATCTGTATTATACCAACATAAAAACTTGTACTAAATCAAATTTGTTGACTTGACATAAATGCAAATAAAGATACAAACAATGTATGATAATTTATGACATTTAATTATAATGTTACCATGTTACTGAGTTTCATCATTTCTTGTTGTACAGTACTGTGTGGAGGATACACTATCCGTGAAGGGACGATGACATAACAATAATACCGTTTACTAATAAAATGTACAGTAAACTCAATGATTTAACTTATACATAATACAACTAAATATTTATTCGGATATACTAAAGACCACCTACATTATTATTTTAATGATACTAATTACAATAGACCAGCGCCCTATTTGGGCATGGATGTAATACTTTTATTCTGGTCCATTGTGTAATGTGTGTTTGCTTTTTAAAAAAAAAAAAAACCCGCGTTTATTGCTGGTGTAAAATGGGTGCAACTTTGGATCAACCCGGATCTTTTCGATCGATAGAAATGGAAATGCAATTTATTCTGAACTTGGCAGTGTAAAAGGTGTATTAATTACAAACAAATGAACTATAGAAAATGGTATCATCAGCTGCACTATCAACCTTTGAATCCACTCCAGTTACTGATATATCGAAAAAATAACGACGTATCTAGTTTGGGCCTGAATTTGCTATCATTTAGCATCGCTATGCCTGTATGCATTGCAAATTGCATCTCAAATGTAACGACAGTATATTTTGATATTAAAGAGTAAGACCTTATACTACTGTATTGTTTAATATCATCTATTCTTATGTCACGAATATCTCTGTCCAATGTTTGTACTGTACTATTTATTGTAGCAAAGATTATAGAAATGATAGAGAGTTAAAGTTGATGTTCTGTACTTAGACAGCCGAATGTAAAGCCCGATTCCGACGATGGTGCAAAATTGTACGGACATGATTTAAGAATGGGCATTCTGGGGGCCGTTACAGTACTATTGGTTGCAAAATTTGGCTGTTTTGTCTGATGTTAATTTGTTTTTATAAAATTGTGGCATATTCTAATTCTAATTGGCTATTAAAAGAAATATTCGCCTCTCTCACTCATACCGTTTGAACTCAAATTTATCTAAAGGAGGGAAACTATTTTCATCATAACCCTGTACAAACTTACGTCATTGACGTTCAATGTTATACATAGCTTTGAATCTAACTCTGCATTTTCCTGTGAAAACCCCAGCACCTTCAAGTCAACACTTTTCTGTGCTGCTACAAATTATTGTGAAAATTTAAGAGTTGAATTTAGTTTAAAAGTACGACTCTTCACTTTGTAGGGGGAGATAATTATTAACCATACCTCCAGGTTGACCAATCAGATGCTGGCTTAATAAGTCTTTTCAAATAAAGGACACAGCCTCAAACTCAATTGGCGCACATTCCCACATTGGAAATTTTATAATATCACCCTTAAACGCTTTAACTTTAACTGGTGGAAGGTTAAAGGAATCTACAATTTTTTTTTTCAGTTTCAAAAACACACACAGCTAGGCCTAAGGTTTTATAACATTTGTGAAATACCACTTCCAGCACTAATAATGATAAAATATTGTCTTGCAAAATGTTAATTTTATTTGATGTAATAATAAGTGTATGTAACGCTGATATAAATTCTCGTAACTTGCGTTCGTGTTTGTCAAAGTCTTTTATATCAATTTGTCCTTTTTGCGTTAGTTATCGTGTATGTTTGCCTTCAGCTTCTTAAATAGATACATTGGCAGTCACATATAGATCAGCATAAGTTCTTCCACTGCATCTTTTACTTTAGATTTCATCTCAGAGTTTTCTGAGACATACCTTTCATTTACACCCTTACATGAATCCAAGCTTCTAGGATAATGTTATAATATAACCACGGGATCACCCTCTGCAGGGAGGTATACCACCCTGCCATGTAGGTATCCATTACCGTCAGTAATGCCCGGAAAATAGAAAAACACAATCTATACACATAGGCCTATATTATATTTCTCTTTATTCTTTGTTTGGTAAACAAACATGCAAGATGCTACCATGTATCAAACGTATTCCTATACCAGCATTCTGCCAAACCTTAGTTAATAATGTTTGTAACAACATGGAGAAAATAAATTATTTACACACATAACATAGGCTGCCATCCACAGGTACCGTCATTTTACTATACAATTATCTATAATTATCATAAATGCTACTTTTTTTTTAGTAAAATCACAGGCTGGTGCTCTCTGTGGGGTTTATCTGAGGTTTTTATATCGAATAAACAAAAGTGAAATAAAATTGGACACTATGATATTGTCCTCTTGGGTTGATCTGAGGTTTTTATACGGAATGATAACAATTATTGTTACTAACATTGGACACTAAAATAAATTAACACAATTTGTTTTGCAGTATTAGGACTAATTTAAATACAAGTATAAAATGCAGGACGGTTGACAACCGGCCTCTATTGGCAAAAGGGCAGGTGTTAATAGCCGGGTGTCAATGTGTTTTGAGAGACTATTATGATACTGGTATTATTATGAGTGATGTTAAACTCTATTAATATTATAGTATAGTATAATATGTGTCGGAATGAGAAGGCAACGGCAAAGACGTGCACATTAGAGAATACTTTAACTGTTTTACTGAGATCAGTATTACCGATACACGTTCACACGGAAGCGCAAAAACTATCTATTAAAACGAATAGTAAATATACATTAATTATTGCCAAACACGTTGAACAAACTCAGGAAACTTCCAGTATTTTAGATTTTAAACGTATTGTTAAGAGTAATCTATTAAATATTATTTCAAATGAAAAAAAAAATTATGTAAGACCATTCATTAGAATTTTATCATGTTGAAGATAATTATTTTTATTGTTTTGCCATGTGTTTTTTGCGAGGACCACAATTGAAACATTTTAAACATTTTTGTGTTATCCTTGGAATTATGCCTTATCGTGTTGTCGTATTGTATTGATGTATACGTGTATGGGTTCCTAATAAAATCAATCAATCAGGAGCTGAAATAAATCATATATTCACTATGTACTATGAAAATAATAGTGATGTAGGTATATAGGCCTAACTGGTGAGATATGGTGCTTTGTGCACCAGGCATGTGTATCATGTTGGTTCTATGTGTGGGCCTTGCATTCATTTAAAAAAAAACGTTTGCCAGATACAATAATACATAAATTACAGGTAAAAAATTAAGGTAAAACATTAGGCCTATACAAAAATAATACTGTATAACATTTAAATAGACACATTAAAACGTTAATACTTTATATAAACATTTAACATTATATTAAAACATCAAGTTATATAAATTTCACAAAATAAATAAAAAGAAAAAAATCAGGAAAATATCATGTTTAGTTTTTTTATGCGAAAATCATAAATAGGACATTTTATTAATCTTACAAAGTGTTAATGAGGCTTGGGAAGTAGGCCTGGAACTGGTTTTTTTTTCAGTTGTGAGTAAGGAAAAAAAGATCCTGTAATGACAGGTTTGAATCAAGACCCTGAGATTGGAAAGCAAACATTTTAACCACTAAGCCACATTTCCATTCTGAAGCAAAGGTATATTAAATTGCATATTGTGTTTAAGTTTTGTATAACAGTTCGGTCAAATATGGGATTGTGTTTTTTTACACCGATCTGTACGGAACAAAGGGATATAATATTTAGAAGAGTTACGAAAAACTTAACAATATTATTAATTTTAAACCATTTATTGTAGCTGTCAGACTTTAAAACATTTTAAATTGGATAATGATCTGTGGTAAGTAGGTAAGGTCTGTCGTTGGTACCAGAAAAGGTTCCTATGATAGTGATTAAACTATTTTAAGTTGCTGCTTTTGCTTGTATGTCTAACTACTGTGCCACAGACTTGCTGGTGTTGGGAAGAAAACTTCTTAATTGGTTAAGCAAAGTATTGTACTGCATTTAAAATAAATGAATAAAATCCCAAGAACAAAAAACAGCAAAAAGAAAAAAAAATACATACATAGTCAAACGTTTATTATGTGATCGGCTTATGTGGATCGATTTATTAAGGTTTATGAACTACAATTAGACGAGAACAGTGTCGGGTGAATTAAAATACCAATTAATTACACGATTGTCTGTCGAATTTTGAATTTTATCAGTACAGTATAAATAAATGCAAGTAGTTCATAAGGTTTATTTTTCCTCTCCAATAAAGTTCCCAGTGTCATCTATCAACAATTAAGCCTTTTACCGGCAGTTGCCGCCAGTATTATCTTCAAACTTATAGTAACTTGCTCACAGTGCTGTAGTGCTAATATTTGCCCGGATAAGCAACTCCCTGGTATACGTAAGCTGGGTCAGGGCAACCTAGAACCTCTCAAAGGGGTCCAGAGGCGTAGTCCACATAAACTCTGACCATTTAGATGTTTAAAAGGTATATATGTATACGTGAGAGCCCCATATATTCACTGGGTAGTGGAAAACTTCATAAGTGAAACACGTTTGTTTTAATAAAATTAACGTATCATTATACATATGATAGTGTACATCACACAGGCGTTATCTTTGGTTATATGAATTATCCGTGTTTCAATACAATATGTTATTTGTGGCTAAATAGCATTGATTTCCACAGAAACGTACGTTATGTCCCTATATTTAAAATGGGCGACGTAAGTTATCCCTGATTTTAGTACTTATGTATCTAAAGTAACATAGTTATAGTGTTCCTGTAGGGGTACATGGAGTGGAGGCAGATGTCCGGTATATAGATTTTCTATTGCTAACTTCAATATTTGTTTCTTTCCCCACATAAATATAGTAGTCTCATGGGATCTGGTTCAAACGTTATCGCTACATTTCTACAGTTTAAAACAAAGTGAATCATACTCTGTTTATTTCTATGAAACGTTTGCAGCAAAATAAGTCGCCAATCGCGTTTTTATTATCCTGCAAGAAATGGTTCATTGCTAGATAATTACGGAGCTGTTTTTGGCAACGAGAATGTAGTTGTAAATACATCAACGGTACTGCCGTCTGTGTCTCTAGTGTAACGAGTAGTAAATTATCATGCACATTATTAGCTAGCTGTGAAGCTGTAGCAAATGAGGCGTGCTGCAAGTTTTCGAACGGTTATGGATGGACGCATAAATACGCATTGAGTATAAGAATAATCTCTAAATAATAATGATAATAAAAATAATACAGGAAAGCTGTAAAAAAATAAGGTTAATATCGCCCCTCGCTTCACTCTCAGATCCCGGGTTAATCTTAAGAGGAGCTGCCATTGTCAAATGTTAAATATTGTGCTATTGTCTTGGAGCATGACGGTGCACGATTGTGTTGTATTATCAGGAACCAAGTCAGTTCTGTTGGACTAACTTGGCATTAGTACCTATATAACATATATACAGTACCTACCAAAACTAATTCGCATAGGCCTATGCCAAAATTTGCTACAGTAGTTTAGTGTACATTCATCGTTATTTACATTTATGTATAGGCCTATTATGTATATATATATATATATATATATATATATATATATATACTTAATAAAATACATGTCAAAGCTGGTCAAAGAATATATAAATACTTTTCTATCAATATATATCCTAATATGTTTCATTCATTATAGGCTGTCCGTGCCAATCAATGTCATTTGGTCCATATAAGTTAGATTTTATTAGGAAAATAATATGTGAAAATTTAAAATTGCGTCCACATTATTTAGTTTTTACGTGTAAACTGCAGGTCTGCAGGTTCCACATTTATAGTTAGATTTACGCATAGAATGGGTCCCAATTTTTAAAATGGTCCACATTTATTAAGTTTATAAGCATAAAATGGGTCCACATTTTAAAAGATGGGTCTACATTAGTTAAATTTTAAGCATAACATATTTTAAAATGGGTCAACCTATAAAAACTATGGTTCACATTACTTAGATTTTAGGTGTAAATTGTCCCGGTTTTTAAAATGCTCTACATTATTCAGTTTATACACATGAAGTGGGTCCACCTTTAAAAGATGGCTTCATTAGTTACAATTTACGTGTATGCTCCCTTTTTTAAAAAATGGTCGACATTATTGAGGATGCTCAATGAAGGAGTTCACATTTTAAAAGATGGATCCACAATAGTTAGGTTTTATGTGTAAAATAGTTCCAAAATTTTAAAACGGTCCACATCATTGAGTTTATACGCATTAAATGGGTCCACTTTTTAAAAGGTGGGTCCATGTTAGTTACCGTACGTTTTGGGTGTTAAAAAAGGTCCCGATTTTTAAAATGGTCAGGTAATGGTTATTCAGTTTATACGCATCGAATGGGTCCACATTTTATAAGATGGGTCTACATAATTTTATTAGATTTTATACGTAAAATGGGTCCCAATTGAGTTTATACGCGTTAAATGGGTCCACTTTCAAAATGTGGGTCCACATTAGCTAGATTTCATGAGTAGAATTGGTCCCAATTTTTGAAATGGTCAACATTTTTCAGTTTATGCATGAAATGGGTACACATTTTAAAAGATGGGTCCACATTAGTTATATTTTATGTGTAAAATGGGCAAAAACTTTAAAAATTGGTCCTGGTATTTGCACTCACTCTCGATATTTGATTTAATAAATTGAGGCCCTTTCAGTTCTTTCAGGTATTCCACATCGATTTTTTTCAGATAAATAATTTATTTCATTTTGATTCTGTTAACTGTGAAGATCAACTTATTTTTTTATATTTGTATTTATTTCATTTCTGAGCCAACTCATAATAAGTTTTTCTAAATCATCATTATATGAAAATATTCATTTATGGAAAAGACCGATATTCTCTTCAGGGTTTCAATGCAGAAAAAATACATCTGAAATTTCAACATAATAGACAGTAATGATTGCATTTATGGCCAATTACTGCAATGTTGGATTGAGGCTGTGCTGAATACAGGCACGACTAATATTCTCGGGAATAGGCCCATAGTAGGTAGCTTCACCGCACATTTCAAAATGTTGAATCTGTATACTTATTATTCAATGGGCATGGAAGGTGAAACACGCATGGATTCTGATAATGAATGTGCTAAAGAAACAATATGTAAAGCCTAACAAACTTCTTTTTCTCCCAATGATATTCGTTTTGAGCTTTTTGTTGTTTCTGTCTATTTAAAAAAAAAAACAAACGCCTATACCACGCTATTTAACGCTGAAAAGACTTCATAGTACTCAAGATAACACATTTTCTGGCATCTATGGATGGAAGCAAACTTATTTAGATTAGGTCTTTGTAATTCCTTCCCTATCACCATTTTCCAGCAGTTTATTACCATCAGCCTAATAACTATAACAAATTATTATATTTTTGTTATTTTCATGCATTTCCTTCTACAAAGCTATCCTATTCTATAAGTTTTGCTATAATCAAAATAATATTTTCTCTATTACAAAATCCCAATATCAAAAACAACCACAAAGAAAATCGTAATCACAATCACCCAAATCATAATAATCATATATGGCAGTACTTTACTTAATTTAAAATAACAATTTCACCAAGTACAATGAAGCATACTGATTTATAAGCATACTACTCTATTTATAAAACTCTGGGAACACAATCTTAACATTTTCTAATTACATGCATTCCCTGATGAAATCATTAATTCCACGCTTGAATAACCATGATTGCTTAGAAAGAGAGATTTGTTTATATTGACTGAGGTAGATAGCCTCATAGACAGATCAAGCGGAGACCATTAACCAGTAATACATAGTAATAAAATACATTTTGTAACGTAATTACTTACATTTTCCTGATAGACTTGACACAGAACACTGGTACAATTAATCGAATTTATGACAGTTTTCCCTACGTAATATGGATGTCAGTGGCGGATCTAGGAATTCGAAGTGAGGGTCCGAGAGGAAGGGACTTTTTACCGACGGAGGGTCTAGACAGTTTCACCCCCACCTTCATTGGCGCTGAGGTAAGAGAACCTATGATTTTGACACCTCTAGTTGGCCGAAAATGGACGACTCCCCCTCCCCCAACACCACCACCGCTGCATGTGATATGAAGGTCTATGTACGGAAGCCAAGTAGGCCTATTCTATGTTCGCTGGAGTGTGAAAATCAACCAATCACGTAAACGAAATACAGCAGCACCCCCTTTGGGACATCCCAATTGTGGGGACACTTTCCCCGTAAAACGAGTAAAATTAAATATATAAATATAAATATATTTTAAAACTATCACCACCCCCTATTCAATGGACACCCCTGTGATGGCGACACGAGAGATTTCTGAGTGTGACCAAATTGTCAATTTAATACATTTTCGACCTCTAGAGACACTTATCAGGGGCGAATCCAGAGATGTCCAAAAGAGGGATGGGGGTTGGGAGGATGCGAAAGGGACAAAAATTGATCTTAAAATTAAATGTATTGTTTTTTTTCATTCAACAATAGGCGTTTTGGGCAGATAATGTTTTACACAGCTTCAAACGAGGTGGATGTGAAGGCTTTCATGTTTTTTCACACAAAAATCATGTTAAATAATAATAGATTAGATTGATTTTAAGAATTTATATAGGCCCTGATAAAACAAAGTTTGTCACTTAAGCCTTAAAACAATCAAAAATGAATAAATGTATAATCATTGAACTCATTAATTGGAGGAGAGGAGATTTAAAAATGTGAAAGTATACTATGTAAAACCATAAGACAAAATTAAGAAAGAAGAAACCTGGGTATAAGATCTTGCAGAAAGTGTCCACAGGTTTATATTTCCTAAACTTCTTGATTTTACAAAAAAAGACTAAAAGAGCACTAAAGAAAAAACGTAAAAGAAAATAACTGTTAAAGAAAATTACTGATTTCGTATTGATATACATTATTGTACGCCATTGATTCATGTGTTCAAAGACTGTGAATGCTAATCACAAACTCTTACCATGAAAGTGGTATCTAGAGACATATTCACGGCTTTATGATTTCACGTTGCCCGATTTACGCCTTAAGAATCAATACATTATTCTAAGTCAATTGGAAATTAAACTTATCAAAACACAAGCATTGTTACAATTATGTGTTCGTACTTTAATCATCTCAATTTGGAGTAGATTGGTACTTCAGATACTTGGTTCGAATCTTAAGGATCTGGGTTCAAACATGTAACAATGTTTTTGTCTCACAAATACAAACTCAACTTCTTAAGCCTCATTATGGAGGCATAGTGTATCGTAACTGGACCTGTTGGAGAACAGTTAGCTACAGGTTACCTAGTAAATGAAAAAAAGTATATACAACTGTGATGGTCTCTGATGTTATGAAGTGACAGTTAATTATTACTTAATTCCGGTGGACTCGGGGAAAGTACTCGCGTGCAGAAAAGTAAAATATAATTATAATTTATGAGAGAGTAGGGAAAATATTAGTGTGATTTAGAGATATCTCACAAGCTATTAGGCTCAACGCCGATTTCCATAGAGCTCTATAATGGCACGTGGCTATGGCAGAATAAAATGCAACTGTATTACGTTCAATGTTTAGTGTGATTCATTATGCATCACGGCATTTTTTAAGACAAAATATTTTGCAATTTTAATGTTTATAATTGGTTTTTTTTCAGGTTTTTAAAAATTATATTTTAAATCGTTTTTACTAATTATATATATATTTGCTATTGTAATGCTTGTAAGTAATTTCATAATTATTGTAATTTATAATATTTATGCTGTATCGTAGTTATACATAAGCTTCGTGTGTTGTGACTCTTGTAAACAAACTTTCACTTTCAGCCGTTTGCCGCTGTTTGTTTTAGGCTATTGTTGGAAAAGTAACCATAAAGAGCGCGATAGAGACTTTCACACAGCCTTAATCAAGATATATAATAATATTCATAAGCTTACACTGAAAAAGTGCAAAGAACGTATCAGACTCGACTCATTAGGAGTTGCGAACACATAGCAAAGTGCATTGTATACCAGAGTAAACGTACAGTATTCTCTTACTCTAGATCTATACAATTGGTAGACTTGACTATAACAACGTTTCATTGCTGATATTTAATTTCTGAAGATCAAAATTTTGGGATGCTTCAACTAGAAATATCTTTTCCATACTCTATTACGTTGCTAACCGGGGCCGTAGTGTAGGCCTGTCGGCCCTCAAGTTTGTTTACTCTTATGAAGGGACAGTAACATTTCCTTTGATGATACATACATTAAAAAGTAAAGTATATCACTACACTTCTAGACACCACAAATGATATAAAGCATAGAATTATTTTAGCAAATTAGCATTTAATAATTTTATTAACATGTGGATAGAGAAAAATATTTCTATGGATCTAAAGCTTAAAGTGTCTATGTTGTTATATAATTGTAATAGTTGGTCGGCTCCTAAAGCTATCATGAGAAAAATCGATACTTGTCATAGGTCCTAATTAGGAACAATTATAAATATAAAATATTCCAGACGGATTAGTAATAACAAACTGTACGAAGTAACAAGTGTTAGACCTTTATCTGAAAGAATTGAAAAGTCGAGGTGGTTTATGCTTGGCCATATATTAAGAATGAGCGCGGATACTCCTGCATATTCTGCTTTAGTATTTGATGTTGTACATTCTAATCAATTAAAGGGTCGCAAAGGAAAGCACCAAAAATAATCTGTTATGTATGGAGATTTACCGTCTCGAAATTTACAGATGTGTAACTCTAACGATTTAGATTATTTGCGTGAGATTGCTAGCAACAGAAATTTGTGGAAAATGTTTTTTTGATTTTCCGTTAATGTTTTAAAGAAATCTATTATTATTTGTATACGCTTAAGACTTGATCAGAGTTTGTAAACTCAATGATTATTGAGATTTTACGAATTTTTGGAATAAAGTGATATATAGGGCCTATATATATATATATATACTGTCTCTTATACACATCTATTATTACTTAATTCCGGTGGAAAGCCCACAACCAAAATGCTTTTGCTCTTTGCTTTTGAGGTACTAGCAAAATTACCCACACTTCCCGAGAAATTACCCACACTTGCCGAGCTGGTAGGAAATTATTTATACTCTTCGAGCTGAGACAATGAATGATACACATAGGTGGGTATATAGTTTCTGAACAAACTGCTGTTGAGGTCCTCACGGATGGTTGATTATTTTCTTTGAATTATTTTAATAATAATAATAATAACAATAATAATAACAATAAAACTAACAATAACATAATAAAATGAGGCATGTCGTGGCAAAATGGTTATGTTTTCGCACAATATTGAGTAAATGAGCTATAAATATATGATCTCAATAAATGTCCTAAAAATCCATTTTTTGCACTATAGATCAACAGTTTAATGTTTAATTGATAGTCAACAATTTTTTTAATTTAACGTTATTTTGGTAATTAATAATAATAATAATAATAATAATAATAATAGTGTAGTTTTATATAGCGCATAAATCCATCTAATGTAAGATGCTCAGGGCGCTTGAAATGTGGACTAGGTTTAATTCCATTAAACAATATATGAAAACTTTAGAATGCATTTACTCAAAATAATGTTTAGGCCTATGTTGAATCCAGAGTGCTGTATTTTCACTTCCCAATAATTAAGGCTTGAAATGTCCCAATTTCAATGAATGACCCCTCATTTTAGATTACATCCTTAGGTATCTGAAAATACCAATAACTTAAATTACAATCTTTGCTACAACTTAGACATTTTGCCACAACATGCCTCAAATTAACAATAACAATAACAATAATAAAAATAATATTAATAATAATAATTCTTTATTGGTCCTCATTCAATTAGAAATCGGAAATATGAGCTGGGCTAGGAACCCACGGCAGCAGCAGTGCAGCGCCACCTGACTCTACTTTAACATTACATTGCCGTCCTTAACCCGTCTACTTTCAACATTAGGGTTATTCGAGAAGCCAAGCGATTAGACTCCAATTAAAACCAGACACTGGCCAGGTTTGAACCGGGTCTTAAGCAAGCAGGGACAATACCTCTCAGCCAACCACACAACTCATTCAGTTTGTCAGAGGTTACTCATTGATTATTATAATACCTCTGCAGTAAGAAAACAAGTGACAAAGGCATCCTATTTCTCATCTGGGAAACCGTCTATTTTCTCATCTAGCTGCTTGGATGTTCTGATTGTACCAACTTGGTTTGCATTTTAATAGTTCTATTCTGAACTGGCGCAGCATTATTAAAGTGAGTAATGGCAGACACAAAAACTGATAGAACATCATCAGCGGGTACCTCAGTAAAAAAGTACGTAATTCATTCTTGACAGATGGATGACGCAAATACTGTACAATAAAATTAAATGATCTTGAAATTCATTGTATTACCATATGCAACATGAACAATATTAAGTTCTTTAATAGGGCATCAAGTCCGTTAAGTAACTCTCCTCTTGACAAAACTCGCCCCTAACAAAACTCATCTCCTAACAAACTCGCATGAGTGATGTCGATTAGAAACACGAATGATGATGAAAGTATAGCCTGGAGGTGTGCACAACTCTTGACTGGATTATCCTCAGTCAACTAAGTTTGCCAGAAGACAGTCGAAACGTATGTTTTATCACTAGCGAAATAAATGAATTACTTTACTAGCATTATTAAAAATATTTTCTGTCATTCAATATATCCATTAGTGACCTTGAATCAATATTAAATTTAGCGGCCATTTTGGCGGCATCTTGGATTTCTGCAAATGCTAGTGGCTGAATTTGACTTTTAGAGGTGCCATTGTATGCCCTAACTCTTCAAATAAGTATAGACTCAAAAATCTTGTTCTATGTGGAATATTGTGGAAGTTATGGCAAAATATCAAACTTTGGAGGCTTCCCGGTCATTTTTTTAGCTTGGTATACAGCAGATTTGAGTTCATCCCCTCTCAAAACCACTAAAAAGCTTGTATGCTATAAATTAACACAATTTGCCACTAGCACCTAAAAATAAACACTTTTTTTCAAATTTTGCCTAGTCTTAGTAATAAATATAACAAAGGTTTATGCTGAAGCAAAAAAAAAAGTCATGATTCATTTTGCCAGTCAATTCTAACGTCTCTGAAGGTCTTTTGGCTCATGTAACCAGCGTACTAATCATGGAAAAAGATCCATACCATCTCTCCTGTTTAATGGTTCAAAATTATCAGAATTACACTAGGGGCTGACTCGAAAAACTGTTGTTCTGTGTGGACTATAATTATGTAC